TTAAAGAAACGCATATTGACATCTCATATAATAATATTTTAACAACATTAATATTTTCTATTTACTAATCTATAAAATTATATTAATAATTTGTCACAATTATCATTTAATTAGTTGTTTAACATAGTTATATAACATATAAATCATGTTAACATTAGCTCTATCAAATGTCTTATACACTTCCAACTCACTAGTACATTTAGCCAGCAGCCCAATCTGGAGTCTTTGTAGTTTATCCTTTTTGTTACAATATTCATATATAATATGAATTTTAGATAAATTTTTGGTACAATTTGGACATTTAGATTGAATGTAATCTATATATTTATCATTTATAATTACAGTAGAGCATCGATTATCAGACCCCTGATTAACCGTCACATCGATTAACCGACTGTTCTAGTCGGCAGATTTCAAATGTCCGCTAGTGATGTGGCGCTACAATATTTGGCTATGTCTTGGCTACTTTAATATTATTTTTGTTAAATTTTTGCGTGTTTTAGCTGGCAACACGACTCAACCATTGAAGGGAGGCCAGTATTTAAATACTGGCCTCCCTTCAATGGTTGAGCCAGTATTTAAATACTGGCCTCCCTTTAATTTTCTAATTATTATGTTTAATTTTCTAATTAGTTTAATTTTCTAATTATGAATGGTTTTGTTTTGTGAGCAATAAAATAATTTTTAACAATACAATAGCGACGATTATTATTTTAAAAAAATTTGTTAGGCTTAACATAGATGAAAATTCAATGCAAAGTTGGTTAATTTAATTAATTAATAGCGATATACTAATATACTAATTACATACTATTAATATACTATACTAATAATGTATTTTTTTTAATTCTTTTCAGTTATCCGACCAACCTGAGTCCCCAATTGAGTCGGATAATCGATGCTCTACTGTATTCCATTTTTATTTAACCTAATATATATAAAAAAACTTTTTAATGTTGAAAGCTATATTTGTCAATATATAGTTGTTATTTACCGGATAATTTAGAATTATTACATACCAGCTTATGTTTTCTTGTTTTCGTATATCTTCAATGTCTTGAATAATAGAGTATTCCATAACTCTATATATTATTTCTTTACTATACTGCTCCATATCATATGTATGGTCCATAAACAGTTTAATAGAAAATTCATATTTATTTACTATCTTCGATAACTGAATTATCCAACTTCGTCTTAAGTCGGTTTCTCTTGATTTGTGATATAGTAAGAACAGCAATTTTGTTGTCATATCTTCAGCCTTAATAATTTTGAGTAAAAACCTTAATATCTTTTTATTAGTATAGTATTTAATCTGAATCTATTTGTTTATAATCTTAAAGTGCTACCCGGGATATTAAATTCTAGCTGGAATATCTTACAGTGGGTTCTCCCATTGAGTTCATCACAATCAAATTAAAAAGTTGAAAATGTGTATGTAAATTCTTTATTTTTACCTTACAGAATAGACCAATTAAATTATTTATTGCAATTTTTGCTTTATTTAGTGAATTTTTAAAGTGTTTTTCAAACGAGAGATTAGGTGTGAATGTAACTCCTAAAAATTTAATTTCCTTCACTATCTTCACTTCTTCTTTATTAATAAAAAAAGACATGTGCTTTTTGGGTACGTTACTTCCATTTCTAAATATCATAATTGTTGATTTTTTTGAATTTATTTTAACTCTTAACTTTTCTAAATACTCACAAATTTGTTGGATTTTTCTATGGAGCGCAGCTGCTGTAGGAGCCATCAGCACAATGTCATCAGCATACGATATAGTATGTATAATCTGGTTTTCAATTTGAAACCCATCTTCATCTCTTTTAAAACAATCATTTAGATCAAATAGGTGGAAATTGAAAAGATATGGGGATAATGGATCACCTTGTAGTAGACCTCTGTAGGTAATGAATGGTGTCCAGATATTAGTATCCTGTTTAATAATTGTCTTATATTTTCCGAACAGCAACACTATCATATTTATCAAAAGTTTTTTGCCTCACATCTCTGATTTTACTCTGTAGGTCAGTAATGCTAATCATATCATATGCTTTTTCAAGATCCAAAAATAGGGCAAACACTTTGTCTTTTTTTAAACAACTGAATTTGAATTAATGACAGGAACACAAAGAGGGCTGTCTGAGTACCACCCCCTTCTACAAATGCAAATTGTGTATTATTTCTATAATTATTCGCAGCTGTCCAGTAATTAAATTTATTAGCTAGTATTATAGTAAATACTTTCCATAGACAAGACAGAAGGGCTATTGGTCTGTAATTGGTTGGTTCCTGTTTATTCCCTTGTTTAAATATCATAGTAAAATAATTTTGTTCCATCTGGTCAGTATTATACTAGTACTATAAAATTGATTAAATTGTCTAGTTAAATATCAAATGATTTCTATTGGTAACATTTTGATGAGTGAATTAGGTATTGTGTCCGATCGCAGTGTTGATTTGTCTTTAAGTTTTTTGATACAGTCCTGTAGTTCTTCCATCTTAATTATCTTGTCTTGCTGAATTTCTGGTCTTGTCTTAGTTCCATATATTTTTTACAAACATTTTTCTGATAATTCTCTGAGAATTTATTGTAGTATTTAAGCCAAACATTATATTCTACTCTAGTCTGCTTATCCCACCCTAACTTTCTTTTACGAAAACTATTAATTATTCTCCAGAAGGCTCTCGAATCTTTAGCTTCTGATAATTTCTTGCTGATTTTTGAAAAGAATAATTTTTTCTTGGTGTGATTAAATTATTATACATTTTTTATACTTTAGATAATTCATTAGTGCTTTACTTGTGTTTGTTCTTTTAAAGATTTGTAAACTCTTTTGTTTTTTTTAATTTTGTAGTCATAACATGTGCTATTATATCATTCACATTTGAAAATTTTTCCATTTTATTGTATACAATTCTTGTACCTATATTCCTCTAGTTTAGTTATAATACTCAGATAATTTTCTATTAGATCATTTTCTTTTGCCAAGGTTAACATCTCCCCAATCATATAATCAAACTCACTTAACAATTTTCGTTTATTATATAACAGTCTTAATTCCAGGTTAATAGACTTTACAATTATATGTCTTATTACTTATTTTTTGATATTTTATTAACTCCAACTGAATAGGAAAATGATCTGCAAGGTTGTTCCCCAGAACGTTCAAATAATTACAATTTATCATTTCTTCTGAACAAATAATGTAATCTACTATGGATTTCCCACTTGGGGAAACAAAAGTAATTTCTACAGTGGTATCACCCTTCATCCTACCATTCAGAATTATTAATTGGTTATTATCAATAAAATCTAAAAGTATTTTTCCCCATGTGTTTAACACTTTATCTTTGGATAATCTCTTATTGACTAAATTTTCAAACGTCTGACAAATTATGGTATCAATAACTTCACCAATACGTGCATTTAGATCACCTCCTATTATCCATATTTGTGTCAGGTTAGACCATCTATCCAAAACTTTTTGCAATTCATTTAAAATTGGTTTCTTCTCCATAGAAGGTGGTATATATATTCCTATTACTCCCAAATATGTATAAGATCATCTCATTTTTATTTTATTCTCTAATTTTATTATAACAGCAATAACATCCGATATATATTATAGAAATGTTTCACCTAATCTTTTCTTAATTAATAACAGAGTTCCACGTGATGGACGTCCAAACTTATTTTTGCATTGAGCATTACTAATTATTGCGTTATTGTCTTGTTCTATATATTTTATTTCCATTTCACTAAATTTTATAATCCAGGTTTTTAAAAATCCAATTATTTCGTTTGGCTTCAGAAATTTTCTCATTGAGGTTTTGAATAATTTCCCTCTTAATCCTTGAATATTCCAAAAGCTTATCGTTACGTTATTTTTTTCTCTTTTTGGAATTTCTACTTTTTTCTCATTCAATTCATTATCTTTGACTATCAACTTATCTCCAATTGTTTTTCTATTTTTATTCTCCATATTATTAGTCATTCTCCTTTTTTCCTGCGTTGTTTTTAAATTTTGATTTATTTTAGCTAATCTTGTATTATATTTGTCTCTAAAAAATGATTTAACTGAATTATTTCTCTATTATTCAAATCATATGTGTACATTATATTATATTTTAAAAAAATAATCATCTCTAATTTTTATCCTATTATTTCTCTAGTTTAATCAATTTTAATAATAATTTTCTCCTAATCCTAGATCTAAGACACAAGTCCGTTGATATTATTATTTTTTCCTTTTCGTTTGTCAATTTCGATCTTGTGGTCCAAAATTTATAAAGAATTAATTTTAAATTTCATATATCAGTTATAAATAATAAATTCATTCATTGGATAAGTATGTTCTGCATCACTAAAATTGAAACAGTGACCTAATAGACTTTGTCTATAAATTTCTAATAGCTTTTGGCTTAGAAATTTGCACTTGGCCATTGTTTCAGTGAAATTTTCTGAATGAAGAAATTTCTTATTCTAATTACTGTTACCAATAATTTCATGAATAATTTTGTTGTACACACTCCATACTTTATCAAGTAGATTCATTGCCAGTAATGTCACAATGTACAAATGTAAATTTGTAGATAAACTATTTTATAACATTTTAAATGTAAATTTATTTTTTAAACTAATATAGTTTAACAGTTAAATATTATGATGTATATTTATGATTGTTAATAAATACATATTATATATAGCTTGTTTATTAAAATACACATATCATAATTCTTTTTGTTAATAAATGAAGATTTTTAAAATAAAGTTGTTAATATTTTATAAATTTTTTTGAATTTTAAATGACTTTTGTAATAATACTTTTTATTTGTGGAAACCAGATTTTAAATTTTTTATAAATTTGTATATAATTTGTAATTGATTTTTATTTTATTTTATTAGTTTGTTGTTTATTTATATATTTATGATATTATGATGAATAAATTTAATGTAAGACTGAAGTTTTATCATCTTTTGTTAGAGAATTAGAAAATCAAGTTGAAGAACTTAGAGGAAATGTCATTAACAGAAGATGTCGTGTAAACATATCTGATGTGGAAAGTATGGCTTTAGTCCTAAGTAGAGCTAGTAAAAATGTAGCTGATTTGAAAGGTAAGTTATATAAAATGTTAAAATTTCATACTAAAAAGTACAATTATATAAGGTGCATTGCAAAAATATAAGGCCACCTTAATTTTTTGTAATAATAAATTTTTATTATACTTAAACAAAAAATCAGTGACAGGAATAAATGTATATATAAAAGAATTACTTATTCTGTTTACAATTAAAAATAAAAATGAAAATATAAATTTTTTATTCAAAAAATCAAAAATAAAGTGTTGCAAAAATATAAGGCCAGTTGTATTTTTAAGTGATTTATAAAAAGACCTTCACTATCATCTGTAATTTAATAATTATAAAGAGGTAATAGTACTTTGTAATTTCAAATAGAGGCATAATTGAATTTATAATAACATTAATTGTTGTGATAACTAATTTTAACAATGGGTGGGAACAGGTAAAACCTAAATTGCCTTTTGGGTGTAGCCAAATCAAGGCACTCCATCAAGCTGGAAGTTCTGCTAGAGCTATTGGAAAACAACTGAGATTGCATTGTGTTGTAGTCAATTATATTAAACTTTGTTTTCCCCCCCATATTTTACACTAACAGGATGGCCTTCTAAGTTGACGAAGAAGCAGAAATCAGCAATTATCTGAGAAATATCAACAACAGGAACATCATTATGTGAAATCACAAAGGCCTGATGTTAATTTTCACAAATCCACACTTTCCTGGATGGTAAAATCAATAAAACATCTAGTGTATAAAAATAGAAAAGTAGTACCATATCTAAAACAACACTAACAAAAAAGACTGATATGGGCCAAAGAAAGTGTCATGAACTTCAAAATGGTCATTCTGACAAATGTAACAAGGTAATGCACTAATCCACAATGCAAATCTCATTTATTAATGGTTACTGGATAATGGTATTGATGTCATGGATTGGTCTCCGTATTCTTCATGATTTGAACAGCATAGAAAATCTATGGAGTCTAATAGCTAGTGATATGTATGCAGGAGGAAAACAATATTACAGTATTGAACAACTCAAAGCTGCAATTGTAAGTGAGTGGGGAAAAAATCAATTTAAATATGTTACAAAATCTTGTTAACTTTATCAAAGATAGGGTTTACAAGGTTATTTTAAAAAACGTTAGTTTCATTGGCTATTGAAAATCATTAGCCTTATATTTTACAACACCATTATTTTTGAATTTCTGAATAAAAAATTTATATTTTCATTTTTATTTTTGATTGTAAATAGAATAAGTAATTCTTTTACATCTACATTTATTCCTATCACTATTTTTTTATTTAAGTGTAATAAAAATTTATTATTCCAAAAAAATTAGGGTGGCCTTACGTTTTTGCACTCCACCTTACATTATAATTAAAGTTGAAAATTTGAAATTTGTACATGTATTGTTAGATATAATTATATTACTCATACTCCAAATTTCAACATTTAATTTTCTTAAGGAAGAAAATCAATGAATAGTAAAATTAATTTAAAAAATTGATATTTAAGTATCAGTTTATCAGTTAAATTGTTCATGACAAATTATTAAAGTTATTTGTCAAATCAGTTATAATTTAACTATTGTTACTTGGAATTGTTTACTTGATTGTTCTTTTTGGGCAGCAATTTTCAAATTTCAGACTTATAGATTTCCACTGTCATTTATCTATTCTTCTGTCCATCCATTTTTCTTGAATCTTGAGAACAGAGTTAGATAGATGAAAATCAAGACCAGATATGGAAAGCTTAGGGGCCAGAGGTTCCAATTAACTGTAAATGAACTTCCGATCTGGACCAAAAGTCATGTAATTTTTTTAAAATTGCAGCTTAGTATTGTGGCCAGCTTAGAGGAGTTGGTAAACAAAGTTTGGTTCCTACTCTGTAAAATTTAAAATATGCAGTACCTTTTCCCTTTTTTAAAATATCATACTATGATTTCTTTTATAAGAAAGATACCACTGGCTATCTGAATATTTTTTCTAAAATTTCTCTATAGAAAGTTTTATTACAATTTATGGTGGGAATCAAAAAATGGATATAACAAATTTACCTTGAAAAACAAGCACATAAAGACAGGTGCTATATCTTAATTAGCCAAAGAATTCCATTTTTATTAGTCAATTATCAAACTTGATTTAAATTTAATCATTTTAAAGAAAAAAATTAAATACAAATATAATGTATAAAATAACAATTTGAGGAATGACATAATCGCCTGTAAAATAGTGTCTCCCACTCCAACTACTATGGGAATTGTTAATTTCCTATCAATGATTGATGTGAATATATTTGTTTAAATTAATAAAAGCTATTTTCCAAATATATATGTGTATGCAGTACATACAAATTTATCTCTCAAAAAGATACTAATGTATAAAGTGCATTTCATACCAAAATTTTATCTGTGTCCATTTTCTAAGAAATTTCTTAATTAAAAAGTATTTTTCCAGTTTTGCTATTGGTAAAATGTGAAATACGAAAAATATTTCATAAAGTTCAGGTCAGAGTTGCTGGAGTCAGAAGAATTTTACCAACTCTAAGTTCACAACACTGACAATGTCACAATGCCAGATTGCAATAAGTAATTGCTTATTACAGTTAATTTTAACATATTGTCTAAGTAGAAAACAGTAATGCTTCCTTTATATATTTATATCTGTGTGTTTTGAATTTTATCATATTTACAGTTATTCTAGAGATCATTACTTTTCTATAAAAAAAATATTGAACATTAAAATATTGCTTGATATTATCATACAGAATCTGGTAATACCAAGATAATAATATTATCTTGGTATTACATGCATACCTCGACTTACGTCGTTTCGAGTTACGTCATTCCCGATTATACGTCATTTGTCAAAAAGTATATGGAAAAATAAATGTTAGCGCCTCAAGCGCCACCGTATTTTTGTCATAAAAAAAAGAAGAAAAAAATTTGTGAACGAGAGTAGTTCTGTAACGGTCATTTGTAGCAGCCATTTTGTACCAGTGTTTCATTCCGCATTAAGCGTTATTTTTTGCAAAACCGCAGTACTTTCATATTTTTACAGTCCATTAAAGATCGACAAACATCTGGTCCGTCGAGGCGGATCAAGAAGAAAAGAGAGACAACTTCGCAAGCAAATAAGATTGGGTCAAACTTCATTAAGTCACCTATCCAAGGTAGGAGGAATTTANCTTAAAATAGATTTTTATTAACCATATATTATTAAAAATGTATTAATAAATAAAATACAGAATCGGGAATGGTAATTTATGGTTTAGCCTAGTGACAAGTAGATTCGGAGACAAGTAAATTTGACTTACATCGTTTTTCGACTTACGTCGTTTTCCAGGAACCAATTACCGACGTAAGGCGAGGTATACCTGTATTAGTTAGTATTATTCCAATATACAGTAGATATGAAGATTTTTGCATATATTTTTCAGAAACACTATTAGTTTATATTCCATTTAAACGAACTTAATTTAAATTGCACTATTTCCTTTAATTACAATGTTAAAAATTTTAAATTACTTTATTTTTATTTGTCAGCAATGTGATGTAATATATAATACTGTACTTTATAAATTGTACTTATAGCAAATTTGCTTTAGGAATGTTAAAATACCAAAAAGTATGCACAGCATATATACAGGCCCGTCGTAAGCGGGCGTGCAAGGCGTGCACCGCATGCGGGCGGCACGTCCAGGGGATGGCAAATCAAGCGATCGGTCAAGAATTATTCAAAGTCATTGTCATAATACCCACCCTACTTATAGCATAAGAAATGTCTTCGCACGAAGAAAAAAAATCCGACCGGCGCGCAATTGCTATATTCTTATTTATATTATAGCTTAACAGCGCCTCTATTGGCATTTATCAGAATTAAGATGCAATGCGAAACGTCTGTCGGCAGGTTGAACCATCCGGCGGTGCCCGAAAAGCCAAGAACCCATAGTCGTGGTCTATGACACAAGTTGACAGGACTGGCGAAAATAGGGAATCCTCACAGAACTTCCTTCTCAGTTTGTACTTGTACGCATTCGAACAGTTCTATCGCATATCAAATTGCAATTATTTTGTTAATAATTCTTCTGACATGNACAAATTAGGCCTATATTATTTTACAATTTTTCACGTTTACTTGATTATTATGCCATAATTTTAACATTGTTTCCATTTCAGCGATAATACTGTGACATTTACGAATGATGCTTGAATTTAAAGGTTGAGCATTTTTCACAGCTTCGAGAATTTTTTCTTTGCCTTTTATAATTGTTCTGGTAGATCAAACTTCATTGCCAATTCACAAATTTTCATTTTTGTATCGAAGTCTTTAATAATGGGTACGTTCGTAAAGTCAAACGAGTTAAACGCGTTAGTAATGAATCGTTCAAAAAGTCTAACGAAATAGGAATAACGATGACTTCATTCTCGCTTAACTTGTTCGACTTTACGAACATACCCAATGTTAACTTTACATTCCAAAGATAAAGTTTTTCTTATCTTGTTTGATGCAGAAGAATTAGTTCTACTTCGTTTGGATGACATAGTAGAGTCTCTCGAGTCTCTGTAGATATAACAAACACAGAAATAAATAACGCAAAATAAATTGTAGCTATGTGTGGATTCCGCGCGACACATCCAAACATGTAAGCTGAACAATAGTGTGGGGGGGTGAGTAATCAAGGGTTGCATGGCGCTCAAACAAAAGACAAATCGACGAGATTTGAAAATCGCGTAACTCCAGGGTAGCGTAAGTCAGGGTATTACTGTATTTTCAATTGAACACAAAATCTTAGACTGCTTTGATACATGAAAATTGATAGCAGATTTCGCAAACATAAAGGCAAGAGAAGTTCAATTTCTATAGATAAATATTTATATGGTTTTACATTTTAAGTAAACAAAAATAACTTAGTAATAATAGATTTTCTTTGTAAAGTATTTCTTTTCTTTTTTCACACCCTTATGAGACAACACTAAAGAGCCTTTCTGGCAAGCTCAGCATAGGTAATCGTAGTTAAACAGGGGGCGGCATAATCGGTATTGCACATGGGCGTTTAAACTGCTAGCGGCGTCCCTGTATATATAATTACAGTATATGCAATATATTATTTATCTTTTCAGCTGTAAAAATCACATTTTAATCAAATTCTAAATAGCAAACAGATTGTATAGAATACTTTAAATGGAACATAAAAATTACAACAAAATGTAAACATTAATTAATTCATAAAAAATGACCTGAGCAGAAGTAACAAAAAAGAAAAATGTACTGTTATTACAAACAGAAGGGTGGACGAAAGGCCGATTTAGATGATGAGAGTTTGAATATCAAGTTATAACTTATGAAGGCAATTTGCTAGCCATTTCAAGGGGTAGGAAATGTATTTGGTATTCTTTTATTTATAATGTCATTGATGATCTAAGTGGCTAGTAAAAATCAATATAGTGATTTGTCTACTTTGCAGTTATCAAGTAGGTGTAATTTATGATCTTAACAGCTTTGTGGTGGCTAAAGTAATTTTTAATAAATCATTTATTGAAAAAGCAAAAATATTCAAAAAATTACATCATAAATGTGAGAAAACCAAATATTTTTTTACACTTTAAAGTGGTTGCAAATCACTTTCATAACATGATCTTTCAACTTTCACCAAATAAATGCTTAATCTTAAAACTGTTTCTTTTTCATTGCAACTGTACTATGGTTCTTGTCAAATGAACAAATAATTCCGGAAAATTTTATGGTTTCTTGGTACCATAAGCTTAATTCCAACAATAAGACAGAAGTTTAATAGTATTAATATGTATGACAATAAACAGTGATTGACAACTTAACCACATTAGTCTTCTCTAACAGATAATGAATATTGTTCAGCTTCTTGCAACCTGTCCTTCTTTTCTATTCCTATTTTTAGCCAGTCTTTATTCAACACCTATGGTCAAAATTTGTCTCTGAAAGAGTATTCGAACCAATTCTTTGTTTTAGTTTTAAAATATTTCACATGTAATTAATTATTTCAGAATATTAAAGGCAGGACTTTATGTTATTGTAAGGTAGGTTATGCACAGCAGCATCCATTATTTACGTTTACTGTTTGTAGTTTAATAATTTCTACATTAAATCATATGTTATGATTTAATAATATTCAGAATCATTGGATGGGCTGGATCCAGCCATGCCTGAGCTAGCCTAATACTGTTTAAAAAATATTTGTTTTACAGTTCAATGACTCAAACTGGGTATAAATAAATAGGCACTATACAATATAAATTTTCGTCTATAATAATGTATCTTCTATTACCAGGACTTATTATACTGGCACTACAGAAATATTACAAAGTTTTTCAGAAAAACATTTTTTATTTTACTTAATATACCTGTCTTTCTCCATATATCTGCCAATATAATAAGTCCTGGTAATAGAAGATATGTTATTATAGACGAAAATTTATATTATGAAATAATAAATTTAGTAAGAAAAAGGGACAATGAGGCATTTTAATTAAACAATATTATTAATAATATATTTAGCCAAAATTCTGGTGTATCAGAAAATGCAAAGTACAGAAAACAAGGAGAAAGACAGGTAAATTAAGTAAAATAAAAAATGTTTTTCTGTAAAACTTTGTAATATTTCTGTAGTGCCAGTATAATAAGTCCTGGTAATAGAAGATAAGTTATTATAGACGAAAATTTATATTTTAGGCACTATACAAATTACCAATATCCAGCAAAAAACTACAAAAATATACAAAAGCAAATATTTTTCACCTGTGTTTGAACAATCATCATCAGTCTAAAAGATCTTCACAGTTTGAATGCAGCTATTTAAAAAAATGGTTCAAACAGAAGAAATTACTCAGGATTGGTGATTGCCATCCACATGCTAAAATTAGAATGGGGAAAAGGTTGTAAGACTAAACATTGTAGAACAATGTTCATGCAGAGAGAAGGAGTCTGCTTCTCTAAAGTTGATAACAGCATTTTTTCTTGTGGCTTTGTAAATTTCTAATTGTTCTTTGTGGGAGTGCAATGCTTGTAATTGAAATTCTTTCTTATTACTTTGTCTTATTTTAATTAATTAATTATTAAATGTTAGTAAATGTTTTTTGTTTGTAGTTTAATGATTTCTACATTAAATCATTTGTTATGATTTAATAATTTTCAGAATCATTGGAATGTTTTAAATCTTGCAATTGCGAGAAATGTTTATTATTGTATATATGAAAAAAGAAAATTATTATTTTAGAAAAAATTAAACTGTTACAATTCCAAATCAATAAAATAGAAATTTAAATATTTTCATACATCTAGATTTCTATTTTATTTATTATTATTAATTAAATTTATCTTTAGAGGAAGTAGTCCGATTTAACCCAGTAGTCATTTGGCATATTATTAATATGTAGGGTTTTGAAATGTTTGTATATGTACAGTACATTACTTTTTAATATAGAATATTAAGTTTAAGTTATAAAGAATGATTATTTTATGATTTGAACTAAATTTACTCTGTGATACTCTGTGATATTAAACAATACTAACCTGAACTAATATGCAAAACAGTTTGGCAATAGCTTCATAATCAAACACTTTTATATTGATCAATGTATATATATAATTTTGAATTTTCATTTTGTAGTAGTTCTTAAAAGAAAATTATATATTAAAATTTTATATACAATATATTACTTTAATCTAATTTTGTAATTTTCAGCAAGATTTCCTAATCTTCAACAAACTATGAAAACTGTAATGACAGCAGAAATGGAAGTTGTTATTAGAGAAGAAAAGTAAGTGTATTATTATAAGCCTTTAAATCTAAAAAGTGATTTTATTACAAAGTTAACATTTTCATCAAAATTAATACAGCAACAGTTAATTATTTAATAATCTGTCGAAACTAATACACTAACTTGCATTAGTGTAGAGCTAATATTAAAAACAATTTATCAAAAAATGATTTATTTAAATTAGGGGTCCCCAAACTTTTTATTCCGTCGACCCCTTTATAGAATATTTGCCTTCTTATCGACCCCCAGATTATGTATTTAACAAAAACATGAAATCATTTTTGCATTTCTGATGTTAAGCGATAAGGAGACCTGCATAACAAGCCAACAAAAGAATTTGTAGTTCCCATTTCTTATAAAATCCACCTAATAACTTTAACAGAAAAAGGAGATATTTTCCACTAATTTATAATCTTAAAAAATAATAGAAAAATTATGGATAGATGGAAATTTGCCTATAGTTCTTAAACCGTACGTGTCATAATACGTAAAATACACAATTAGTTTTGAAAACATAACAAGTTATATTGGATTAATAAAACCTCTTACTGTCATTTTGCGACTACTATTGAATGCGTTAAAAATATGTTAACATACCTTTTTATTAAAATAGTTGATATTAGTGAGATGGATGTGTCTGAAGAGAAGCAGCAAGATTATTGATATTCGGTTGAAAATTGGTAAGTTTTAGTCGCAAATCACCGCGGTTTTCCAAGTTCAATCTGTTTTTCTGTTTTGTCAAAATTGCGTTCGCGTGGCTAAAATCAGCTTCAACTATATATGAAGTTGGGAATGCAAGTAAGAAAGGTTCGGCTTCTGCTCTGAGCTTGGAATATTTAGTGGCAATATTG